TACAACTAAATTTATTATTAGTAATATTTATAATTAAACATTATTATGACTTATTCTAGTATAATCAGTGGTTCTTGTTATAAGAAGTGCTTTGGTGACATTATAGTAAAGTATTTTGTACAATTACCCTGACACATGAATTTGTTCTATATTTAGTTCATCTCTCTCATCTGCACTGTATCATGAATAAGTCCCCACTGATTTTTTTTTTACGGAATTCATTTTTCTTACAAAATAGGTTAATTATTTGCTCAGTCTCAATTAATGAACTCCTATTAACTATAATATTCTTGGAATTATATTTCTGAGTGATATCGGTGGACCTTTAAATGCCTTAGCAAATAACTCCACAATGAGAAATACTTTTTTTTTTTTTAAAGGGAGCTGCTGAAATTGTTTAATACAGGCAATTATCACTTTTACTTTAATATGTTAAACTGGAAAAGCAATAATATGCAGTTTGAGATCTGGCTCCCTTTTTTGTATTTGCCTACCTCTTTCACTATGTCAGAGTGTACAACAAACACAGTTGCCAATATACTTTAATATGGTGCTGACATTTTACGCAGTTCTTTACATACACTCACAAGCCACTTTATTAGGTATACCTTGCTGGTACCGGGTTGGACCCCTTTTTGCCTTCAGAACAGCCTTAATTCTTCATGACATAGATTCAATAAGGTATTGGAAACATTCCACAGAGATATTGGTCTATATTGACATGAGAGCATCAAGCAGTTGCTGCAGATTTGTCAGCTGCACATCCATGCTGCGAATCTCCCATTCCACCACATCCCAAAGGTGCTCTATTGGGTTGAGATCTGGTGACTGTGGAGGTCATTGGAGTACAGTGAACTTATTGTCATGTTCAAGAAACCTGTTTGAGATGATTTGAGCTTTGTGATATGGTGCATTTATCCTGTTGGAAGTAGCCATCAGAAGATGGTCAGCAACAATACTCAGGTAAGCTGTGGCGTTTAAACGATGCTCAATTGGAACTAAGAGGCCCAAAGTGTGCCAAGAAAATATCCCACACACCATTACACCACCAGCCTGATTCATTGATACATAGCAGGATGGATCCACGATTTCATGTTGTTTACGCCAAATTCTGACCCTACCATCTGAATGTCGTAGCTGAAATCCAGACTCATCACACCAGACAATATTCTATTGTCTAATTTTGGTGAGCCTGTGTGAACTGTAGCCTCCGTTTCCTGTTCTTAGCTGACAGGAGTGGCACCTGGTGTGGTCTTCTACTGCTGTAGCCCATCTGCTTCAAGGGTCGACGTATTGTGTTTAAAGATGGTATTCTGCCTACCTTGGTTGTAACGAATGGTCATTTGAGTTACTGTTGCCTTTCTATCATTTCAAACTAGTCTGCCCTTTCTCCTCTGACATCAACAAGGCATTTTCGTCCACACAACTGCAGCTCACTGTATATCTTCTCTTTTTTGGACCATTCTCTGTAAACCCTAGAGATGGTTAAGGTGAAAATGCCAATAGATCAGCAGTTTTTGAAAAACTCAGACCAGTCCGCCTGGCACCATGCCATGTTCAAAGTCACTTAAATCCCCTTTTTTTCTCCATTCTGATGCTCGATTTGAACAGCAAGTCATCTTCCCCATGTCTAGATGCCTACAATGCATTAAGTTGCTGCCATGTGATTGGCTGATTAGCAATTTTGTGTTACCAAGCAGTTAAACAGGTGTACCTAATAATCAGTTGCTCCCCTCAAGGAACTTACAAATTACAGTCCCTACCTCACACACATGAATACACATACTAGGTCCAATTTAGATAAGAGCTAATTTACTAATGAGAATTTCTTTGGAGTGTGGAAGGAAACCTACATAAGCACAGGAAGTACATGCAAACTCTATGCAGGTAGTGTTGTGGTGGGGAATCAAACCACTGACCTCAGTGCTGCAAGCTAGAGGGGCTAACCACTAAGTCACTCTACTGCTTCCCCTTTTCTATCACCCTATAGCAGGGGTCTCCAAACTTTCCAAACAAAGGGCCAGTTTACTATCCTTTAAACTATAGGGGGGCTGGACTATGGCCAGTGGGAGAAGAAAATGTCCTGGCATCAGTGGGAGTAAACAATGCCCCATCACTGTTATTAGGGAGGAGTAGTGGTGCCCCTTTGTTGGTGTCAATGGGAGGAATAGTGCTCCCTCATTTGTGTCAGTGGAAGGAATAGTACCCCATCATAGATGTGAATGAGAGGAATAGTGTCCCATCGTTGGGTGTCAGTGGGAGGAATAACGCCCCATTGTTGGTGTCAGTGGGAGGAATAGTGCCCTATCGTTGGGTGTCAGTAGGAGGAAAAGTGCCCCATCATTGGTTTCAATGGGAGGAATACTGCCCCATTATTGGTTCAGTGGGTGGAAAAGTGCCCCTTCATTGGTGTCAGTGGCAGTAACTATGCGCCACTGTTAAAGGCACAAGCAAATGGCTGCATCTGGCCCCCAGGCAGCAGTTTGAAGACCACTGCCGCATATGATAGGGGAATCATCTACTGCATAATAGGGGCAAACCTGTTTTGTTGCAGAGCTGTTATGAAAGGTCAGTACATTTTTGTTGCAGATTTAGAGTAGACACTGTTGGGCTTATTTACTAAAGAATTTGACAGTCTTTACTAAAGAAAAGTGTGACTATTCATTGCAATAATTCAGTCATGTGAAAAGCAAATTCTTATGCACTTTGAACATCCACCTTATGAGCAAATACTTTTGACATGATTGGATAACTGAAGTGAATATTCATCATATTTTTCTGTGAATATTCTCTACTTCTTTAGTAAATCAGCCCTAATATTGTTGGTTGTAGATATTTTGCAAACAACAAAACTGTCATCTGAAAAAAAAACTGTTTAACCTATGTAAACTATACTGACAGATCTGGAGATTATATCAGGGTAAACTCAGGGCTGCAGCAAGTGAATAGGGTAGCGCAGGAGCATTGTGAAGGTAAGTAACAGTGCAAGGGGGTTCGACTAGTGAAATAATCTGTCACATTGTCCTAATTAGCCAAAGTAACAGATTAAAGCAGTCTCTCAATCAAAATTGACTTTTTAATCCTATGCTGCAAATATTAGTAAATAGATAGGAAAGTATAATCATTTATTTGTTTTACACTTTTTTTTTTTCTAAATTTCTTTAGTTACTTCCTGGTTTCCAGGCCTAAGCCAATGATGTCATGCATCCCAGGAGTCTTCAGGAAGGAAGGAGGGGTTTTCTCAGCTAATTACACCCTCCTGACTCATACCTGAGATAAGGGCAGATGATTTCCAGGAAGTAAATGCTACATGAATCATCTGCCCTTACTCAAGATGACCATGGCCAGAAATGCTAGGGGTGTTTTTCAAAGTGACTTCTCAGCAAAATAAAGCATTATAAGTCACTAGTCTATGGGGCGTTTCTGTGCAGACAGTGCCAGTATCTAAACCCCACGGAAAAGTTTCTGGATTAGATCAGGTTAGGGAGCTAGGTAGGTGGGGGTTACAAGTTTTTTTTTAAAACAGAATTTGTTCTTTAACCACTTGCCTACCAGGCACTTTTACCGCCTTCCTGCCTAGGCCAATTTTCAGCTTTTGAATGACAATTGCGCGGTCATGCAACACTGTACCCATATTAAATTTTTATAATTTTTTTCACAAAAATAGAGCTTTTTTTTGGTGGTATTTAATTGCCACTGGGTGGTTTTTTGCACTGTAAATGAAAAAAAGTGCAAAAAATCTGAAAAAAAGGTTTTGTTTCTATTATAAAATTTTGCAAACAGGTAATTTTTCTCCTTCACTGATGTGCGTTGATGAGGCTGCACTGATATATGAAGCTTACATGTGACCGTAGACAACTTACAGCACACTGAGGTGTCTGATATGAACTACAAGTCCCAGTTAATCTTGTGAAATGAATGAATAAATAGCATACTGGTAACTGAATACATATATTACAGAGCAAAAATTACAAACATATTACACAAATATCAAAAAATATATAGAGACCACCACAGGGATCTTACTCATTTGAGGTTTAGAGGTCTACATTTTATGCTAGCTGCTTGGTCTATGTGCGCTCTCAATTACTTTTACATGTGAATAATGCTTCAGTCCATTCTACGATTAGCCTCTTATTACACCACACAGTACACAGACAGCCTGCTGAAAGAACAGCAAAACCCACAGCTGGCATCCTTAGTGTGTTGGTGCTCCATTGCTATGCATCCAGAGGCTTAAGTAAACCTGGACTGAACTGTAACTTTTCTAAAGCTGAAATTTCCGTTTAAAAACATCCTACAGCTTTAGTCACATCATTTTACCTCTAATGAAGTATGTCCTACATTGTGCAGGCATCCGAATCCTGAATCAAGAAACTTGACTACTGGAATTGCCTGTCCTCTTCCTATCCCCTACAGTGCTGCAATGGCGCAGCTCGGGGTATGCAGAGCTGGTGCCTCCACTAGGCAAACTAGGCGACTGCCTAGGACGCATTGCCACCTGGGGGTGCCTGGGTGCAACACAGGAAAGAACTCTCTCTGTGTAGGATGCTGCAACATCGTGAATGATCCTCCAGCTGAGAGGAGGGGTGGCAGAGGAGAGGAAGAAAAGACAGAGGAAGATGCTGGATGTCTGGGGCCAGTGTAGCAGCTGAGCTGCAGCTCCTCCTAGTGTTCCTCTCAGACTCAGTCCCTTACTGCAAGCCAGCTGGCAGATGCTGATCACTGTGGAGTTCCAGCCCTTCTATTCATCAGCAGAGGAAGGTAATGTCTGACTCTGATGTCTAGTGTCTGTGTGAGTGTGACCCGGCCATCCATCACACTTGCAATGTGTCAGTGAGTGCTGACATCATCACAATCCCACAGCCTGCTCTTATAGTGACTGCTAGGCCTTCTGATCTGTGTCAGTGTTTGTGGTGGTGCATTGTGTCAGATCTGTTACTGTGTGGGATCGCTCAGTTCAGGTGTTCTCTGTGTGTATGAGCTAAGCTGCCTGATTTCACAGCATTTTATCTTTCCCCCATTGCCTGGGGAATTCCAGCCTTGGATGTGTCAGAGTGGTGATCCATCATCCTCCACTCACTGCAACTGTCACCCTGCCACTGCCAGCCACAGATACAGTCCACCCGTGACACTGATTTTGTCTTTAATATTGGTGCTGGTGGCATCTTATGGTACTTATTTTTGCAAATAAAAATAAATTTAGCAGTTTCATGTTTTGTTGATTTAATATTCTCCACTGTTTTTAAAATGTTTTGTTTAATTTTTTTTTTTTGTATGTGTGTGGGGGAAAGGGGGCTCAAGTAGCTGGTCTTGCCTAGGGTGCAAAATAGTCTACCCCCCAGCCCGGGGGGTATGCATTCACTTTTCCATTCTGCTTCTGGGCTCTTATTGTCTATTGCTGGAGCTATACACTTATGAGGTCAAGCTTCACTGTGCAAAGAAAATTAAAAAAGCAGCATTTTTACTTGCATATGATTGGAAGATGGAAGTCAACAGAGCTTCCCCTCATTTATTTAGATCTGGAGCAACTTCACTTGCAGAGTACAACTGTACTTGCAAAGTGCACAGTCTATTTGCCTTTAGTAAATCAACCCCTATAATTCACAATTGCTGGGTTTCCTACATGTTGTGATTTTCTGAAAACAACTGTACCTGTGTCTTTGAAATATGTTGTTCTATGAGGTACAGCAAATGTTTTTTTTTTATTCATTTATAAAAATTCAATATTTCTGAATTACAATACTGATTGGCATGATTTACAGAGCCTATGTCATAGGGAGGCAATAGAAGGCAATGCCTTTTCAAAATCAATTCTAAATCCTGTCTTTTCTCACTAAAATGAATTAGAGCCCCCACCTTTCCACTACATCCTTCTTATAGCATTTCCTATTATTTCTCCAATAGTAAGGACTCCCACCCTTTAGAGATATCCGACTCCACTCTGGTCAGTGTCTGGCACCATCTGCTCTGATTATTTGTTGAATTTTTTTGTATCTAGGAACAAAGCTTTTACTTTTAACATAAAGACAGCATCAGTAGTCTTTGATATACAGCATTCTGCAGAGCAAACTGAAGTCCTCTGAATTTCCATGGGAGAAGTGCAGAATAGCAGCAGATTGGAAATGCAGAACAACTGTCATGGTTTCTTTTCCGCTCTCTGCTCTGCTGTCAAGCCTCCCCCCTAGAGAGATCCTTCCTCAACTTCTCTACATGCTGTCAGGAATTTTATAAATACACATTATTAACTGGGTTTGTACTCTTGTTTTATCTTATTTCCTTATTGATATGATCACAAGAACTGTTCTGTCATGTTGATATAATTGTGAACAAGAGACTTGTCAGCTTTCTAACAAAACTGTACAATATTATTTACAGTTTGGACTGAATTTCAGGAAAAGGCTTTCCATACAGCCGATACATTTCTGGATTACACAATATTAATTCATGCATGTTTCAGGATCTTTCCATGTCTAGATAGCGAACAGCTTTAAATGTGTTAGTTAAAATGGTAGTAAACTCTTTTTTTATTTTTATCTACAGGTAAGCTTATAATAAAGCTTCCCATTGCCCAACGAATAAAATTCAAAACATTAACAATAACATATAAAGCCATTTATAACTCTGCCCCAAATTATATCACCAAATCTTGTCTCCAAATATCACCCAAACCGTACTCTCTGCTCCTCACACGACCTCCTGCTCTCTAGCTCCCTTGACTCCTCCTCCCATGCTTGTCTCCAGGACTTCTCCAGAGCTTCCCCATCCTCTGAAACTCTCTACCCCAATTTATCAGACTATCGCCTACTCTGCTCACTTTTAGGCGATCGCTGAAAACCTATCTCTTCAGGGAAGCCTATCCTGCCCTATTCCTCCTACCAGTCCATCCCCCACAGTTATTAACTTTTGTACCACTAGCCCCTCCCTCTTAGATTGTAAGCTCCAAGGAGCAAGGCCCTCCTAACTCTCTTGTATTGAACTGTATTGTTGCTGTATTGTCTCCCATTATATTGTAAAGCACTGAGCAAACTGTTGGTGCTATATAAATCTTGTATAATAATAATAATAATAATATAGGTAAAATGAATATCTCCTAAATGTGCTCTTTAGGAGATACTCTAGCTGGTGGCAGCCAGGTGACGTAACCAGCACATGCACTCTGAAGGACAGCATACCTGTGCCGTTCCTACAGAGCTGTGTGCCACAGCCAAGATTCCTGCGCACATGTGTGGGAGTGACATCATCCTGGCTTGGCCATTCAAGCGGCAAGCGGCCCACAAACCCGGAAGATGGGCCCAGCGAAGATGGAAGCCTCTTCAGCGGTGACAGCTCGCCGCTGGAGTGCTTCATTTTCAGGCAAGTCTTTCATAATCTGCTAGTATGTAATGCATACTATCACATTATCATATTGCCTTGCAGAAATAAACTTTTTTTTTTCTTTTAAAACAAGAGTTTACTACCACTTTAAAACCAAAACCAAAGATGTCATATATTGCAGCTTACTAGGTCTTAGATGTGGTAGCTGTATTAGTTTACTTTTTGGGGGGCTTTTTTCTTTTATTTTCAACTGGAGATCTGGCCAGCAAGTCTGTTATTTTTCAACTTTCTTTAACAGAACAAACTGTCCAGCAAAAGTGGCAGTTAGAGGGCTAAGATAAAACCATTTAACACTGACAGGGGTGCTTAAAATGATCAACTTTTATATAAAAAATCTTTAATATATATATAAAATCTTTAATCCAAAAGAAAAGAAAACTTGTAAATGCTTAAAGAGTGTTAGCGCTCCGCTATAATTTTTCAAGCCCATCTAAATCTACTAGCTCACCTAAAGTTATGTTCTCCTCAGACTTGTCTCTGTAGCTCCACCATCCAGAGCGGAGATACTCTAAGGGCTGGTTCACACCATGCCAGCACAGGAATCGCACAGGAACATGCTGTGCATTCCTGTGTGATTCACAGGTGGTTCTTTGTAGTGCAATTTCAGCCCATTAATTTTGAATGGCTAAAATCTGACCGCACTGCACCAAAAGTAGTGTATGCATTACTTTTAGAAACACACTGCAACTGAATTGCATGGTGCTTTTATGCCATGTGATCCGATGCAGTCCAGGGCAGCAAACGCACTGAGTTTGCAACCTGCCTTTGGGGTGTCATTAACTTATTATTGACACCTGCTGCAGATCGCAAATGAAGTGTGTTTTGCATGCAGTGTGAATCGCAGGAACGTACAGCCCATTCCTGGTGTGAACTGGCCCTGACACAGGAAGCGCGTTACTAGCTGGAACACCAGATGAAAATAAATGTAAAAAAGCCTGAAATATATATTTACTTTTGCAATACATCACATTTTTGTGTTGGCTTTAATAGCTCTTAAAACTCTGCTCTGTCCTTTATTTTTGAGCAAATATAGCTGGAACATCTTGATTTGATAGGTATTTCTTTCTTCAGTTTCAATAATTGAGTCAGTTCATTAATTATGAATGGATTAGGTTGTGGATTTATATTTGAGAAAATGCTAAGCAAAAGTGGAAACACCCCACTGTGCTGTGAAGTGCAAGGTGATTGGGAACAGAACCAGGTGATATGCTGGTTGCAGATGGGAGTGGCTAAGATCCAAAGTGGTTGATTTGCTAAAGGAGAATTTTCTATTTGCAAAGTGTTAGTCTTTAAGGAGAAACTGTCACTCTGCCCTAAATGGACAGGTGACAGTTTTTTTAAATACATTACCACCATCCCTACCATCAAGGTATACTCAGACTAAAAACCCCCCACTGCCTCCCTGCTACATTCCACCATGAGTTAGCTCTGATATTGGATGGTGTCAGATCATAGAATGGTGGATGATGCCACTGCTCCCTTCCCCACATACAGTGCTCAGCAAACACCCAAACACATTTGTCAGAAAACCTTTACTTTTAGTTAGAGTTAACATTTTCTATGGGACACTATACTGCAAAATACTCCCACAAATGCGGGCCATTGATTGCAAACAAGATTTATTAATTTGCACAGACAAAAAAGTATTTTTCCTAACAAATTCATTCAAGACCAAGTTGCAAAAATGAATACGCCCCAATGAAAGTCTTAGGAGCAAAGCTAAATTTTAGACAACAAACTTCTAAGTAACAAGATTTCAACTACAGGTGAGTCTAAAACTGGCCATACACGTGTAGATTTTCTGACGAGAATATTCGTATGGAAAGTCGTACGTAAATTCTTTGGACATTTTGTGAATGGGCGAATGTCTGAAAATTGTCTTTTGCTTTTAACATTCGACTTTAAAATGAATGTAATTTCTGAATGATCACCACATACACCGGCCGAAAATTATTTGATCGTGGATAGTTTTCCTTCCTTCCCCTTTGAATTTCCCTGTCACTGCGGTCGAAAACAAACATTGATTTGACCTCACTAACAATTAGAAAATCAAACGAATATTCTTGAAATTAAAATTCCTGAACAAAAATCTGTACGTGTATGGCCAGCTTAATTGTTCATTAAACAGGTGTCCAGCAGACAGTTCATTATAAAAGGGTGTTACGTAACAAAGAAAACCCCTTCCCAGTTCATGCTGTCAGCAATGGCATTACATGGAAGAGATATGGCCTGAGAAAGAAAATAATTTCTTTACACAAGAAAGGTGAAGGCTACAAGAAGATCAGCAAAGCTTTACTTATCAATCAGAATACTGTAGCAAAAGTGATACAAAAATGTAACAAAGTTGGAACTGCAACCATCTCACAGAGACGTCCAGGCTGTTTATGGAAGTTAACACCTCGACACGAGCGTCTTCTGATGAGAAGGGTCGAAGAAAATCACCATGAACGGTCATTGCAGTTAGCTAAAGAGGTAGAAAGCCACACTGGGGTGATTTTGTTACCATATCATAATACAGCATACACTGCAGAGGAATGGCATGTCTTTAACGAAGGAAGCCTCTCCTAAAGCCCATGCACAAAAAAGGGCCCATACTGAAAAAGAAGAAGACTACTGGGACTCTGTACTCTGGAGTGATGAGACCAAGATAAATGTTTTTAGAACTGATGGCTTCAAAACTGTATGGCTTTGCAAAGGTGAGGATTAATGCATGGTGCTTTTAGTAAAACATGGTGGTGACAGTGTCCTTTTGTGGGGCTACATTAGTGCTGCTGATGTCGCGGAGCTGCATTTCATTGATGGTATTATGAATTCACAGATGTACTGCTCTATATTGAAAGAGAAGATGCTACCATCACTCCATGCCCTTGCTAGTGGTGCACTTTTTCAACAGACAATGATCCAAAACAGACATTTAAGGCCACTGTTGCATTTCTGAAGAAGAACAGTGATTCAGTGGC